TGCTTTGTGTTGATACAAAGTAATTCAAATCTGGTTTGGTAAATAATAAAAAAATAATAGTAAATCAAACAATTTGGCCATTTTACTCAATTCAATCCTTATTATTGCAATTCACTCCCTTTTATTCCAATACTATTTAATCAGCCCAACACTATTAGATTTCTTATTTCTTGCAATACTTGTTATTATAGTATTGCCTAGTGAGTAATACTACAGCATACGGTATCCTGCAGTATTTACTCACTAGTTTGCTCAGCTACACCTCTTTCAGACAGTTCTATTGTGCATCAGATACATTGTGACAAAGTTTTGTCTCAATTGGAGCTTGATCTTGTTTAACTTAGGACTGCTATTAATACAGTCTGACACATCAGCATGAGAATAAGAGTGGCTTACATCTTCCAAATAATAAAATGTTCTACAAGTCACGTTTACTCAGCTATTTGGGGCTTCACCCACATTGTTCCCGGATAAACATGTCAGTATTATTAGGTTTTTGTTTATGTTTTTTCCTGAAATTGATTCAAGAGCATGGTCTTTCAGTTTGACAGCACCACTTATTCATTTCATCTACAAATTGTGTCAATTGTTTGCTAAATACATATTTAACATTTCTGTAAGTGTTAAAACATTATTAACCTGAACACAATGATCACAGCTGAATGGTTTTAATCCATCACTCACCTTTTTAACCTCAAGAATCAAATCTCTATTAGACACCATCTACAGGACAAACTGTGTTATTGCAGGAAATAAACAGCATTTGGTTCTGAGGCTCAGAAGTAAATTCTGGAGGAAGTGAAAGAGTCTGTGTTCCTTTCTATACCTGTTTACCCTTATCTCAACCTGAAAGTAACCTTATCCCTAACTCCAGCCAGTCATGACACGATACTCAACCTGACCACAGCCCCTCGTCCAAGTTGGGGTAATTTAACATGAAATTAGCAAAGAAACATTATAACTAACTTCAAAAAAAACAAGTTTCCTTTCTTTTCTTATAGATTTTAAATATGATACAATATCTTGTCTTGTATACATAGAATATAGGACAAGATGTTGAATATCCCTTGTACGTTTGAAGCTCTTCTGCACAATTCAGGTGACCAACTACCAGTAGATGTTAGCAGGTGTTAGCGGCCACCAGCGAATGTTAGGAACATAACTTCAGTTGTGCACCTCAGCATCATCAAATGTTTTGGCCTTGTAATCAATGATACAGGGCGAACTTGAGGGTATGGTGAGGCTAAAGGTAAATCTGACAGAATCTTACAGAATTTTGTTGTTAAAATGGCGAAGACTCCCATTTTATACATGTTGCTGTCCCCTTTAATCTAACAGCAAATTTCAATGCCCCTTTAAGTTGAATCTTTCAGTGAACTGAAGAGTAAGTGCCTGAAAGTTGGAGAATCGTGTAATATTCTCAACAAAAAAGTTGACTATATGAAATATTACATCGCAACCCGATCAAAAAAGTTTATGCATGGCCCACCTACAGATCATTAGGTGGTTTACATTAAGAACTATCCACCTTTTTAAAATGTGCTCTCAGTTATACTGCTCAATAGCTAGTTAAGAAAAGGCCACAGGTCTGCCCACATATTTTTGTTTTCTTATAGAACAATTTGGATAAGACTGACAACTTTTAAAATCTGAGGTTGATAAATTGTTAAGAAAATGTGTAAGAGGTAAAGTTAATAACAAGAATCACTTGCTTCTCTCAAACAAACACATATACATTATACCGGAGAAGGAGATGGTTTGAAAGAGAAGGAGGGAATTCACACTGTTTCTTTAATTTAGAAGAGTCTTATTCCAGTAATAACAATATCAATAAGCTAAATATTAATTAGGTTACCAGAGGTGAGGTGAAAAGTACAGGATCTCTCTTATTAGTTGAGAATTATAACTAAACTGACAGATGAAACCACACTGCTCTTTCAATCAGACATTTTCTTTACACACAAATCTCTTCATGAATATTGGTTTTAGAATAATATTGTGTTGGTAGATCAGAATAGAGATGGTCTTCTCTTTAATTGTGAAGCATTTCTGACACAATATCCATGTAACACCTGAGTCTTTAGTGACATACCCTCTGGAGGCTGTAATCCCAGCAATCTCAACACACACTCCCACATACAAAACTAGTTCTTCCAGTTATTCTGGAACTAACAGTTCTACAGTGTTTTACTTCTCAACTCATCTATAAATTATATCTGCAGCTAAACGAGAGAGGCATGGTTGTAATTAGTTAGTGTTATGGACATCCACATACGGTTGTACATTTATTTTGGCATTGCCCAGTCAAAACCTGTGAATTAGCTCTGCTGAAAATGTTAAAGGAAGTTTCTTCTTACTTTGGGAGAATATGTTGTTAAGGCACAAAAAAAATGTATGTGAACCAAGAGAAAACAGAAAAAACACTTAATATTATAATGGACTCATTCCATATCAGTGTCCATTTTCATATATGAAACTGTGCTTTATTTCCTTTAGCAAAGAACTGAAGAAAGAGAAAACTAGAAAAAAAAACTGTTCAAACTTTGTTCCATCTTTTATATTTTATATAATTCTGTTTGATGTAGATGCTTCAGTTGCAGTGTGATTAATTACAATTAATGTAAAGTTGAATTTTGTACTTGGGAGGTGATTTTAATAGAAAAATATAAATGGGGAAAACGATGCGTGCGGTGACACAGAGGAAGAGGGAGACGCTCTATCTCGACCAATCACGGAGCGACATTTACTTCCCCGTGCTTGGACTTGTCAAGCCGTGATTGGTTGAGGGCAGCAGTAACGTTTGAAAGAGACAGGAGCTGCAGATCGTCCTCTCTCGGTGTGTTGGTGTCAGTGTGTGTCAGTGTGTCAGTGTGTGTGCTGTGACGGAACAGACCCACAGAGACATGGAGCTCGTCCACACCGTGCAGCTCCTGGTCAGGTCGCTGCCGCTGCTGCTGCTGCTCTGCTCCAGCTGTGACGGCAGAGAGTCGGAGTTGAACTACGTGACGTGCGGCTCCCTGGTCAAACTGCTCAACACCAGGCACAACGTCCGCCTGCACTCACACGACGTCAAGTACGGCTCAGGTAACACGGCTGACCCCCAGCTGCTGCCGGCTCCTACATCCGTGATGTTCTCCAAGACAAAGTGGAAGCTCATTGAGAAATCGGCGTGTTTAAAGTCGCCTCTCTCATCCGCGAGCACCCATAAATAACGCACCACGGGCCCGTGAGGATTAGACTCTGATATGTGTTGTATCGCAGCATGTGGCGACTATATCTTTATTTATGGAACCTGTGTACTTAATACGAGAATAGTTATACATGACGTCTTCTACGACCGCGGCCCACCTCCGTCTGTTGTGATGGAGGACGCTGTGGCAGCGGCAGGTGAACAGGTGAACAGATGATGTAACTTGAATTGTTAGTACAAAACACAGGTTCTTCCCCACATTTGTGCCACGCCGAATTTTAGAGGGGGTGTTCGTGGTTAGTGGGATGTGTTGAGTGACCTCTGAAAGTGTTTGGCTCTTGCCTGGAAAGCAGGACAAGTTAAAAGTGTTGTTTTCTTCTATGTAGATCGGCATCACCTTTTCCCGATGCGTGAAAGCAGCACAGCAGTGTCGAGGATCGAACGTGTCACTAACGTAACATGTCTCCAACACATGACCTGCGATTTTCCTTTAACATTAATGTGATCAATGTCAGGTTATGTGATTGTCCTTTACATTGTTGTCAACGGGATCAAAATGTAAACCACCAGACTTCCGGTTAAAACGATTCAAAGTAAAGCAAACCAGTAGCTCTGCTGTGGACAGTGGTTTATGGGTTTTACTTTATCAGAATCACATGATCGCTGGTTATCAGCTTTGCTACAATTTCTCTACACACAGAGTCGAAAAAGGAAGTAAACAAATACAAAATAAAAACAGTGATTAGAAAAATGTACAACATGCAGTTTTCCGATAGAACTATGTGACAATGAGACAACAGTAACTAATGACTAATGTTGGTAGTCAGAATGACAAGTGTAGTGTGGGTCAACAGTAGGAGTAGTGAAACAGTAGAGTATTGATGGAGGAGCGCAGACAGAGGAGGAATTGTCTATCTGGATGTTCACAGGAAGGAAGCAGCTCCTCTGGTGTCCAGCCGTTAGTCGTTGTCAAACGCAACCTACGAGAAAGTCCAGAGACTCGGGTCCGGCCTCTCCGTGGAGTTTTTGCCTGTGACACTTTGCTCAACGCAGCAGGATAATAACGTGCATAACGGATTCATTCTGGTACACCCCCAGGACTGACGCGGTATCCTGAGTCAGTTTGTTGAGTCTGTAGTAGTCTGCCCTGGCACAGCACAGAATAGACAAAGGTACTGGTCACCACCGACATTCACGGCTTGGTGTTACAGATGGTGAAGGAGCCAGAGCCTCCACAGGAAAAAGAGCAGATTCTGGCCCTTCCTGCACAGATGTAAGCTGAGGTTAAAGAGGTGCTGTAGTGTGACACACAACTGGGACACACACAGGCCGATTGAAGGTGTCATTGTTGCTAGATGACTGTTGATCAATATGGTTAATAGTTCCTTCTCACACATTAATCTGTTTTACAACTTCCTACCGAACTTTTTGACAAGAGAAGTATACATTTATTCAGACAGAGGATCTGAAAGTGATACAGCAACAGTCTGAATGCAAATCAGCCTCCTGTGTGGCTCAGAGGATGAGGGAGGGCTGTAACGTGACTCTTCAACCATTCAAAGCTAGCTAGTCATATTATTCTTCAACAACTAACAAAACTTTCTCGTATGTGCAACATTTGGACACATTAGATATAATGAAGTTGCACGAGTTGTTACGTAAGACAAGTTACATGATACGGTACTGAAGAACGATATCACAAAGCTCTGTTAAAAGTCATCTCTGATGCAGGAGAACAAATGGATGTTAAGTTTTCCTACATCAATATGTTGTGTGATAGAAAATATTCTGTTGGCACTTTGGGCTACAAGTTCTCATCCAAAGTGGCTGAATTTAGATGTTTGTACAGAGGCTAACACGAGCAGAGACCCATATGTAACTTGACATAAGAAGAAAAATCACTTTAAAAATCCTTGACTTTCTGCTTGTTACAAACTTAAGAACCAAAACTATTAATCAAACTTATTTTGACCTAAAATCCAGAGGTCTCTTGAGTTGTAGGAGTAATGCTACATGACAGTAGTACAGAAACTGAGCTGAGCACGCCTCTACTCTGTCTGATGATAATGAAAGTGTCAAACTGAACATGCATCATTCTGTACAGTAATGGTCCAAGAGAAGAGACCATACACGTTTCTGGGGACTGGAAATTAGACATATTTTTTAGATCAGTTACACAATGTTTATTTCCAAATGTCACAAGCTTAAAATGATTCTCTGGTATCAGTTATGTATATCATAATGTTATTGCATAAAGACAGTGCCAAGATAAGTGGCTTGAGTGCCACTGGAGTCAGTCTCATTTTTCTGAAGAATAGTTTTTAGGATTAGGATTTTAGGATTTTCCGATTTTTTTGGATTCGACTGTCGGCAGAAAATGGTTATTCTCATGTTCCTCTAGAGGATTCACCAAAAGTGAGAAGGTGCGGTGATGACTGGTAGAAGTAGTTTGCTTCATCAAAACTCATTTTTCCTCCTCGACTAAAAGTTGTTACATCTGCAGGAAGATCAACAGACCCAGACCACCTGCAAGGACGTCTTATTCATCTTATTCAAACTGTAGATCATCCCTTAGATCTGTGAGCTGTCAATGCTACAGCAGGAACGTCCAGAGCAGAGATACAGTGGAGAGGCTGCTTCTGCTGCTGGGTATTGTTGACATGACTCAGCCCCATGTCTGCGGACAGTTCATGTTAGTTAGTCACTCAGCAGACAGAGAATCTGCATTTTGCTGAGGCAACTGTCACAGCTTCTAAAGTTAGAGTTCTCCTGTCTGTCAGTGAAACCCACCACTCATACCTGTGTGTGTGTGTAGGCAGTGGACAGCAGTCTGTAACTGGAGTGGACAACGCAGACGATGCCAACAGTTATTGGCAGATTCGTGGGAAGCCAAACCATCCATGTCAGCGCGGTGTGGCCATCAAGTGTGGGGAGGCCATCCGCATCACCCACATGAAGACTGGTCGAAACCTCCACACCCACCACTTCAGCTCACCCCTGTCTAATAACCAGGTAAAGACACACTGTTACGCTTGTGGAGCTCACAGAAGACACAAGAATCATGCTGTGGATTCAATTACTGACATTCATTACAACAAATTGTGCAGCAGATCTATCAGTTTGCCAATACAATCACCGCTATACAATAATTTCCTCTCCTGTCTCTTTGTGTCTTCATCAGGAGGTCAGTGCCTTTGGAGAGAATGGCGAAGGTGACAACCTGGATGTGTGGACAGTGCAGTGCGATGCCGACCACTGGGAGCGCGACGAGGCTGTGCGCTTCAAACACGTGGGCACCGATGTCTTCCTGAGCGTGACAGGCGAGCAGTATGGCCATCCCATCCGTGGCCAGCGGGAGGTGCACGGCATGAGCTCCTCCAACCAGCACAACTGGTGGCGCACCATGGAGGGCGTGTTCATTCAGCCCAGCCAGGAGCTGATACGCCACGATGAGCTCTGACCTCATCACTGCATGGACATGTGTGTGTATGTGCACAGTCTGTGGATTCCTGTGGCTGTGGTGGTTTTATAGTACACCTGGACCAAATGCTGTTATGTGTGAATGGTGTAGAATATTTGACTGACTCGTCTCTGTATACGTGAAGCACTCAGGGTGCTCTGAGGCGAAGTGCGGAAGTGCTGTTGTTTTCCCTAAAAGTTTGAAGATCACTGATAATGTGTGTAGTGCAGCCGTATGGTTTATTTATTCTTCAGTTTTCTCCTCAGAGGAATTCAAATGAGAGAAAATCAAGGCTGGACGACTGGACAAAGCGACTACTGAAACTGAAATGGTGAGAGGCCCTGTGTCACATAAAACGTACAGGTATATCACGATGTTAAATTTCTCACTGAAGTCCAGTTAATTGGTCAGAGCAGTTAGCGTAAGTGTCCAGGAAACGAGTGGAAGTTTATTGCACCCAAAAAGTAAGGTATAACAATGTGTCACACATGCACACACATGCGTTTTGTTGAAATTATTTTTTTTAGATAGAAGTAGAAGATCTGCTTCAACCCCGTCTCTGATTGGTTTACCCTGATATTGTTACTCTTAGCCAAATACATCCCTCCTCAATCCTAAACCTAACCTTACCAACCAATGAAGGCAGCGACTCCTAGCCAATTGGAGGCAAAGTAGGGGTAGTCTCTTCCTGCCATGGGTGAGAAAGAAGATAAGTCTCCCTAGGTAGATATGAAGGATTCATTCTGAAGCCAAACACATATATGTATTTCTCATTTTTAAATGTTAATGCATGGCTCCACTCCAGAGTTTTCTAGCCTCTAAAATACCCAAGTTCAAGGGAAATACAATCGTTGCTAAACCGTGCTGTCAGTAACAGTCCCACCTCCTCGTTGGTCCAACAAAAGAACTCCAGGGTCATTTCACCATTACTGTTACACTCGGTCAAAGTATTTTCTGTAACTTAGAAACCAAACTTCAGAGTAGACAATCTGCTTCCTGTTGCACATGCCCGGTGTACATGAAAGGTCATTTGATTTGTGTTTTCAGGCGTTTGTATGGCGGGAGAATGTTTCCTAATATGAAGCGAAATCACTGGATGTTGTTTAAGTTTGAAAACATCACTTTTCATGTCAATACAAAGATTCATAGATTTAGGTGATCATACGCTGATAAAAACATCACTGAGAATTTTATATTCAATTTCAATAAATCCCATTAAATACTACACACTGGTTCTTTAACATCCTGCTTGTTGTTTTTTTTGGTATCAGAGCTTTCTTGTTTGTGAATATGACAGCTGAATTTTTAATTAATGTGTCAAACTGAATTGAACCTTGGGATTCATTTACTATGATTCCTACAAACACGATTAATAAAAATCAACACAAAAGCTGTATCTTTGCCTGGTGTTGTTGCAGCTCACCCTTGAATCCAGCAGGTGGAGACAAGTCACCATGTGAAAGAGACGGGAGAGAGCAGATGCATCAGGTCTGCTCTCCTCAGCATCTCCCTCTCCCTCAGCTTCCTGCATCCTCTGCATCAACTGCCTGTCCGGTGTGTGAGCATGTGTGTGGATTCAGACGATGTTAAAGCAGGAGCAGCAGCCTCATTGAGCCATGTTCACTGCAAATACATGTATTGAACTAAACATTACTGAAGCGGTGGGGTTGAAGAAAAACAGCTCAAAGGAGGAAATAACTAATAACTGTTACCTCAACAGTTACAGGTTGTGATCCAATGAGATGTGTTGGCAATGTAACAGTGTTCTAATCCTATTTGACTGTTCAATTAATAACCAATACAAGACAAAGAGAAAACCAACAGATTATTTTTCAATCTTGTTCTATACGAATCTTGAACATCTTTACATTTCATTTAGCTGACACTTTTATCCAAAGCGACTTACAAGAAGTGCATTCAACAGCAACAACCTATTCATGTTTATCACATTATTTACCCAGAAGTCTTTTACCTGACACACATTAATCACATGGTGAGCCAGTGCTATCCCCCCGCATGAACTTTCCTTAATCTAAGACGTTAATATGGCCCATCTCTGAATCTGTTGGTGCAGAAGACAACAGGTCAGAGTTTATTTCCCCCTGCACAGACGCTCATGTGATGATTATGCTCTACAGTCTGCACACCAACAGATATTTAATATATTTAAATGGTGTCAATTTAAAAAGCTGATGTACTTTGAATTAAATTCTGCTCTTGAACCGATGATTAGTTTATCTGACAGTAATGTGACTGCCAGAAATAATTTTCATGTCCATGGCAAAATATATAAAATATTTTTATGTTACTACCTCAACAAGTAAAAATAGCATAAAACATCAAATGGATGAAAAATGTGCCATGATGGACGGAGCCAGTCTAGATATTTTATATACATCAGTACAGTTATACTTGAGTTGACTTCTTTATTTAAGCCTAACTTTGAAATCAGGAACTGAGTTGTGAATATTTACTAATGTAGTGGTCGATCTCAACTATTAACTACAATCACTGGATGGGAACTAAATAGAAAAAAGGTGAATTTTATTTAAAAATAACCAGATCATTTGGCAAAGGATCCTCCTACCACTGACTTCAGCTTACAGGTGCACAGAGCTGCAAATCTATATATTTTAATGGGTTGTTAGTCATATGAAAATACACTCAAAATAATTCCCATTCAATTTATATTTATAGAATGCATTTAACCCCTTATTGAAAAGCCATATAATTCGTTATTAAACAGTATTAAACTAGAGTAAGTAGTAAAAAATGTGTGTTTAGAGGCAGAGGAAAGTATGTTAGTAAGTTATAGCTGATACGTGTCCTCCTTTATCCTGCAGTCAGAGGTGCACTGTTGCTGACCTTTAATGGGACTTTAGTGGTTGATGGGGTGGGGGTGCAGAGGGAGGTTCCCAGCCTCACTCATGAGTCCCAGCAGGCTGAGCACAGGAAATGTAAATGTAACCACCCACCTCTGCGGAGGAAGTGGCGTGTTGATCTATTAGCTCGCCCATGTTCCTCATGTTTCTACAGCCTTGGGTCTGTTTCCACACAAGCTCGCTGTTTCACTGCAGAGCTACGAGCTGCTCACAGTGACCGAGGGAGGCTGTTTCTGTGACACTCTGTGGGCCAGAGTCCTGCACAGCTTAGTTTCTTCTTTATTGAAGATGAAAAAATATGAATGCTAACAGCCTAAAACCATATTCAGAGACAAAATGAAGTATAAATGAATCCATGTCAGTCTTTAGATATGTTCTATGATTTACTCTTTCTATGACACAACTGAAAATGCTGGTTTTGTTAAAAAACGTTTTGATGTTAAAGGCTTAATCAACTTTGAGCTGTTTTTCTTCTCTATTATTTACTGATGAATCATGATTTGCAGCACATTAATGATGATTATTAAAGTCAGTCATATATTAAAACTCCTTGTATAGAAAAAGACGGTTTAATGAACATACATAATATCTGTTTGATTTGATACGACTCAAGATAAAGGATATTTTGTATTTGTCATTATTTGTGCTGAAATGGCTTT